CAGGAGATAAGACCCGTCAGAAGTGTTGAGTTGAAGGTCATGTTCACACTTTTCTGCACCTATTTTACATTTCAGATAACAAGCATCAGCTGAAAGGGAAGGCAGACAGAAAGTAGCTCTTCTAGGGTAAAAAACCGCTGCCTGTCTTCTTTTAGTCAGAGCTGTGTGAAGCTGAGAAAAGTTTGAGAAAATACTAAAATCAAGCAACCATTTCCACTTAGCTGCCACTTTATTAGCGACACGTAGCTAAAAACGAATGCAGACTAATCTGCCATAAATTCTAACTTCATGAAGGTTTTAATGTTCACATGTTGTTGATGCTATCTTGGAGAGGTGTTGATTGAATTGTGCTGCTGAGCCGTACTGCTTTATGCTGAGAGGTGTTTGCAATATTTCTTCTACCTCATTTACATAAATGTGTGATACTTACAGCTAAGGCATCACTTTGATAGAAATATTAAAATGAATGAGGAAACCAGGAGTCTCCGTGTTTTTATTGATGCATATAACCGCCACAAGAAACATGCATCAGGAATATACTCCTGCATCCTCAAAGAACCACTCTACTTTATATGTTAAAGCAGAATGGGAGAAGGGAGCAAACAGGAAGAGTGGCTAAATATATGTAAAATACAATCCACCACCTCCTGTTCTGGCCATTTCATTTAAAGAACTGTTTACAGAATGGGAGAGAGGATTCTGGGCAATGCTGGAGATGATGTAACAATTCAATGGCTGAAGACTTTGACATATTTTTGAATTGTCCAGTAATCCAATCCTATTGCCTATAGATAGTAACAGAAATCAAATCAATAATGGGCTTTGAGATGGATTATAGTTTTGGCAGCATATATTTAGATAATAATCCAACTGAAAAAGGAAGTAACTAAGAACTGGTTAGATAAGGACCCACCAACAAAAGGAGAGTGGATCGCAATAATAAAAGAAATGTATCAAAAAGAGAAACTGAACTTTTTTTGAAGGCTTTGTATCAATAAATTCCACAAGTAATGGTCTAAATGGTGTATGCACATGAATACAGATATTTTGTAGAAAGCAGAGAAATGTGAAATCCCCCTCTTTTTAATGAACTCTTTGCTCTTCTTTCTTTTGGTTGTGGCCTACTAGTATTATTACGTGCATAATTCCTTCATAACCTTATTCCTGTGATATATTTGTTCATTTGGCTCATACTGGGTTTGTATGTGTATTTGCGCGTCATAAGACAGCAGTCATCTTAATTCCCTCTGAGCATATGGACGGGAAGGGATCTGTACTTGATGCTGCGTTGGTGTTGTCTTTGTACGCCTCTCTCTCCTCCTGGGACTATGGGAGTGACACAAAGCTAACTGCTGTGCCAATAACATTTGAACTGTGTTGTACTGCCCCTGGTGACCTGTCTGTTCAGTTATGTGGATCTTTGTTCATCTGTGATGCAGGATCGATATCTCGACAAAATAACTATACTAGTTTTAAATAGACAAAATGATAAATGGTTACCTTCATTCCTCATGGCAGTGACGTAGTTGAACCATTCTTTGACTGTGGCGACTCCATGTGGGGGGTTTTCATGCCGCCGGCGGGTTATTTTGGTTATAGTGGCCATGGGGCTCTCGAGGGCACCGCAGGGTTTGGTCACCATGGTGTTATGACCAAGGTGGAAATCCAGTGTCTGAACAATGTAGGTAGAATCATCTTTGGAGCCTGCGTGTGGCAGAAACCAAGGTTAGTTATCAAAACGGGATTATAGTGCCACACCCAAGTGTATAAATTCTAATCTGTAAACTAATAGACCTTTTTTACAGCAGCATGAAACACATGAAATAGTAGGGTAACCACAATGAGACAAATTAAGGTTCCATTCCATTCAGGTCAAACAGTCAGGATGCTTCTATTGTGCATGTTGGCTCAGTGGTAAAGCTCTGCGACACTAAATGGAATAGAGCCTTTTGGTAACACCTGTGTTTACCCTACTATGTCCTGTCAAAGTGGCTGCTGTGAAATTTCACACAATTGGGCTATTAAGAAATATTTTTACTACAGATTATGTCATTATTTTTCAACTCCATTTATACTATTGAAGTCCCTGAAATGAACATTCTGGCTCACCGTCCTCCCAGATCTTCTGTGCCTCGGTCCAGAAGGCGATGTTGGGCTCTTCCAGGTGGAACAGAGCCCACGACTTGGAGCGGAAGTTGGGCCCGTGGAAGCAGGCCAGCGTCATGTGATTGCCGTGGAGGCTCATTGAACCGCCCAGCTGCACGGCGTCCTCTGGCAGAGGCATCTGGAAGAGGGAGATGTGGCAGCCTGCGATTACCTTCAGCACCCCGGGCCAGTGGCGGTGATGGGCTGCATCCATGTCTGTGTGGGAAAGGCGGTTAGGGGACACAAAATGAGAGGTGAGGACGGGGGCTGGGGCTAGGCAGACAAATCGATTCTGACCAGAACATGAGGCTTGATGCTGGTGTTTTTGTGTAATATGTCATTTTTATCCTTACATAGCCTCCAATCTTTTTAAATGTATTCTGCTTGTGCTTTTTGTTTGTTTTTAATGATCTCCAGAGGATGTTTGATTATATCCAGTTGTTGAACCACCTTGTCAACTATTTGAGAAAGTGCTATACAAATTAAGCTTATTAGAATTACAAATCATTTCATTTTCTATAACCAGTGTGGCTGCCTGAAACACTTGCTGTGCATACCTTATTATGCTACAGTCTGCAATAAATATTTCACCTAGCAGCAGTATAGAAGAAGGCGTGCTTACAAAGCTCTGCAGCTCCTTTCTCAGTGTTGATGACGGGGGTTTTGGGGGGTAGGTAGGGGCCAGGGCCCCAGGTGGAAAGGGCCCGCTTGCTGGTGTCGAACTGTTGAGTGAAAAACTCCTGCAGTTTCATTCCGATCTTGATGAGGTCTGGCGTGGTGGAGCGTGAAATGATCACCTGGAAAATATCCCACTGCAAGTCTCCATGGACGAAGATCTCACTGAAAGGACAGAGGGAAAGGAGATGGGGGGGGGGGGGAGAAACAGGGAGATGGAAGGGTAAGACGGTTAAGACTGTAGAAAAACTGAAATATCGTACATTAAACATCACTGCATGTGGAATAACCACACAGTAAATATTATATCGGTATCATCATTCTGTTACACTGGCAGAGGTGCTGTGTATGCATGATAAGCTTCTGCTGACATCTTTTCACACCTTTTCTCTGATAGGCTGGTGTCAACAGTGCACAGGTTGACCTTCCATTCGTCCTGCAGCTGCAGGTCAGCGTTGCTGAAAACTCCCATCAGGATGCTGGAGCCCATGTAGTCAACGCGTGCCTCTGTCGACCCCATTGTGATCTGGATTTTGTGGCTGGGTTGCTGGTTGGGGTGTTCGGAGATGTGGGCTGAAAAAAAGATAGTAATTGGTTAGCAAATAGGATTACTAGTGGCACTCTTCCAGAACATACAGTTTTTACATTTTTTTTCTTTTGCCAAAGATTGAGACGATGTAACATTAAGAATAAACAAAAGAAATGTAAACATTTTGTACAGTTTTAAAATATTAAATTTAAAGAAACAAAACATTTAAATTACACCATGATTTCCACATCGGTAAACAAAGGGCTACATAAGCAAATCAGTATGAAAAAAGAAGAGATACACTCATAAAAATCCATCAATTCAAAATGAATTTTGATTTATTTATTAAAAAAAAAACAAAAACATAAATCTTCACCTCACTTCAGGATCAACAAATATCATTCTTGGGCGAAAATTCAAATTAGAATTTAATTATAATAAGAGCAGTGCACAGACTGCAATCTGCTACATTCTATGCTATATGCATGCAGAGCAGCAGCAGGAGAAATAAATCATGAATTCTCATCCCCAGGTCTAAAGAAATACACACCGCTACAAATGTATGTGGAACGTAAATATGTCCCTTATTAGCTTATTAATTGTAAAAGAGTTTGAGTAAAATGTGAAAGTGCTTTAGAGTCTGTATTCTATCACTGCACAGCTCCCAGTGTTGTGTGGGAACTCTGCACTGAACTCTGGCTCAGGTCCATATCCACAGTTTACACTCTGCTAGAACAAGAGCTGCTAATGAGTTGCGGAAAAAACAGCAGATGTCTGAGAAGTTGATGCTTTGTTTACTTACAGACCATCTCCAGGGTGTTCACGTCTATATTGCCACCCACCACCCCGCCTTTGGAGTCGAGCTTGGAGCGGCCGAGGCCGACAGACATGCTGATCTCCCGGTCCCGGTTGCTGCCCACAGACAGTCGGCCCTGACTCTTCAGCCCGCTGGTCGTCCAGCTGCAGGGGCAAACACAACTGTGAGCACTCCTGAAACGCTGCTGAATAATGTAGAAGAACTCTCTATGAAAGATAAATGACTCCCGTTGCAACAACTTCCCCAGGAATAAACACAGGTAACTGAAAAGGAAAAGACCAGTTGAATACGAAGTCTGACTGACGTGGTCA